CACTGTTTCGAGTTTTCTTGCCACTGCTGTAATCGTTCTTCTTGTTTATTTTGCTTTTCGACCTGCCACTGTTTCGAGTTTTCTTGCCACTGCTGTAATCGTTCTTCTTGTTTATTTTGCTGTTCGAGCTGCCACTGTTTCAAGTTTTCTTGCCACTGCTGTAATCTCTCTTCTTGTTTATTTTGCTGTTCGAGCTGCCACTGTTGCAGGTTTTCCTGCAACTGCTGTTGTCTCTCTTCTTGTTTATTTTCTCGTTCGTCTTGTTTCTTTTGCTGTTCTTGTATTGCTGCCATCAAATCTGCTAAGCTGTAGTTTGATTTGCCACTTCTCGTTTCCATTTTTTTTCTTTTTCTGTCCCACTCTCTGACACCAATTTGTTACGTCTCTGGTCGTTAGTTAATTTTCCGTAGAAATTCTTTCCGAAGAAGCTTTACCAAATCAAGTCCTTTCTTAGATAAAACTACTTTATTCTTTCTGAATACAACTTTGCAATACACTTAATTTCCACAGTTGCGCTATAACAAACGCTATAATTCACAACGAACGTCTCACATGCTTGACTCAACAATACTCTCTCTCTCTGTCCGCAGTTCAATTACACATTACATTGTTGCTGTCACGTCTTGACCGTCTTATATATAAAAGAATACCGAAATCTAGTAAACGCTAGAGCATTCAGGAAGGGACAGGATCCTTCTAGAAGTTCATGACGTGTTACTAGCGTCACGTGACTTCCGCTGTCGTAACAATAGCTATTTCGAAACTCCTTCTATATTGTCTGATATACGAAAAATAAAATGAAAAAATACAGAAATCTAACAGATAAAAATACAGTCAGAATGTAAAAGTAAAGAAAAACGAAACTTTAAAATGAAATATATAATAGATAAAAAATGGGCAAGAAACGTCAGGAGAAGAAAAAATAGACACAAAACTCAACAACTGTTAAAATAGAGGAAGAAATGCAGAAAGATAGAGGCCGAAAAAATACAAAGTATCAAAGAAAGAGAAGTGAAAAATTTAACTATAAGGTAGAAACTAGCATTAAGACTGAATGGGAAAAAACAAAACTCTGGTGAGAACAACTGAAAGGTGTTAGGTATTGCAAATTTGTATATTATACAAAAAAATAGTTTAAAGTGGTGGAGTACTGTATACTATATATAAACCATATATATGTATTCCGAACAGGACATATGTACAACAAATTATTCCCATTATAGAGACTACAGGCATATCATAAACACTATATATATATAGTTTTATTCTTGTTGTCAAAAGTCCACTTAGGTCTATTCAATTGCTTTAGAATTTCATTTGACAAGCCGAACTATCTTCTCTGCTACTGTCGTACTAGTATTATGCGTGTAATTCACTTACAGTTGTGGCGCAAGTTACCTTAATCGTTTGGTCTTTTTTCTTCTGAAGATCCTCTGTTCATTTTGTCAAAGTGCACTCAGGCTGAATTTCGCTTTGACGAAATAAATTATATTTCTTATTTTCTTTTTCACTGTTAGTCTTACATATCAAACGTTAGGCCCATCACTTGTGGGGTAGTTAATTTTTCCATTCGTAACTTTACTTTCTTCTGATGTTATCTATCTGCTGTTTTCGCTAGCCTCGCTCTATTTATATCTATATTACTTAATCGTCTGTCTGCTTCTATATTCTCGACGTCAATGTATTGCATGCGATGTTCAATAGTCTTAACATCAATGAATTATTAACAAAACTTCCCACAATCGTCTGCCCATAACACTTATTATAACAAAAACTAAACAATAATAAAATATTCACTGACAAAAACAAATCAATCAATAACATCTAAACTAAACAGTATTTTATATCATGACATACATCCTAATTTTAATAAAGCGTTATTCGAAAATTTTCAATTATTCTAATTTGTGCAGTTTTTACATACCACGCTGTCAAGAGAAGAGTCGTTTAATTGCTTTCGTTTTAACTGCCTTTGTCTTTCTGTTGAGGTATCATGTAGTCTGTCAGTAGAAGGCATAGTTATAATGCTGTCTCAATATTACAACCTCCGTTGTGTTTCAATAAGGTTTACCAACAGTGACACAGATGGCGCTCGCAGCATAAGAACATAGCCTAAAAGAATTTAGTATATAATACTATGATCTCACTCTGAAGCTCAAACCGTCAGTTTGGGTGAGTTTAAGAACTTTCTTAAATATAATGTAGATAGCCATATTTTCCTAAAGTTTAACCTGTAATATTAACCAATTCTTAATAAGTTCTTGGGAGAGCTTAGAAAGATAACTGTCAATAAAGTTGTTGTCTTTTGTCCTAAAACTTATTTAAATCTGATTTTTTTATAGTTTAAATACAGTTTTATTTTCATCATGTGGTAAGTCTTTCTTTCGTAATAAATATCTTGTCAAATCTTTCGTTTGTATGCGGACCTATCAGTTTCACCTCAGAATACCACAATGGCTTCAAACTAACTTAGTACGATTGTCTATATTAGTAGAAAAGTTTCATGAAGTTCACACCGCAATCCCTTAAGTAAAAAGGAGGAAGCGGGACTCTTTCAGTAAGACGTACAATTTAGAAAGACATCTACAACGCAGGATGTCCGTATTTCAAATTTAAATGTGAATTAATTTTATTACGTCGGAACAGTGAGAATATTACCAAAATTAAGGCTCCAATATTGTTAACTTCATACAATTTGAGTTTATAATATACTATCTTTTTAATAATTATGATTATTAAACTTAAGCAATCTTTAGTTTAAAGAACAAAAGCAAATTTATTTATGATTGGTAATTTTTGTACATACAGTACATTTTCTTAAGGATATGGCAATATCGCATTGTTTCTTTTTATAGATACTTTAAAACTTGCTCAGTAAATTTGCGGGCGAGTAACGATTAAAATCGGGTTTCGATACCTGCCGTGGGTAGAACACAGATAGCCCATTGTGTAGCTTCGTACTTAACGAACAAAAACTTTTAGACTTTTTCTACTATTACTTATTTATTATTATTATATTAAAAGTAACAAAATGGCAAGTGAAAACATGATTAATATGCATGAACATTTTAGCTTGAATGCATCGTTTTCGGGTAATGTTATATGAGTAGCAAATTTTAACATATTGACAGCATTAATTCTTTTATGATTAATAAAAACAATCAGAACGTTATGATAAGCTAGTAACACGGTCCGCAGCGGAGGCGTCTCCAGGCGCTGGCACATGGGGCCCGTGGATCGATTTTATTTGACAGTGCCCCGAATCTCCATTGGTGTCTTGAAAAATCAGAATAGAAAACCAAGATCGATATCATACTGGAACGCCGAAAACTCCTGCACCTATGGGCCCGAGTCCCGAATATTTTAAATGACACCTCTTCTCCCCGGTGATTCAGCAGTGATAAGTATGATGGCTTATAATGCTGAATATCGGGTTTCCATACCCGTGTTAAGCACAGCACAAATAGCCCATGATATCCCTTTATGTTGAATAAGATATAAAAATACATACAAAAAGGTATCAATGCAAGAGAAAGAAACAATCATAACATTCAGTTACTAATGTAAATTCATAACATGGGTGATATATATCATTAGCTTGCATTCAAGTCTTAATACAATATAATAATAAGTTGTCTTAAAATTAAATATAATTCTTTGAATACGGTGAAACTGGACTTTCAAACAGTGATGTTGACTAATAAGGATTAATATGTAAGAAATATTTTTATGTGAAATAAACAATCATTTGAATACACATATAGCAGAATAATATAAAACAAATAGCATTTGGACATTCTTTTTTTATAGGCATAAATTGTTATTACTCTACAAGGCGATATAAAAATTAGCCCTTTTTCATAAAATGAGACACAGTAGTATGAAAATATGGATATTAGTTTTCATTTAAATCTCATCACTATTTATATTATAACAATTATGCTTAATACCCCCAACCCAAGTGGCTCAATTGTGAGTCTAAAGACTTACAACGCTAATAACCAGGTTTCGATACCTGTGGTAGACAGAGCATAGATAGCCCATTGTGTAGCTTTGTGCTTAACAATTAACCAACAAGCCTAATGACTGGCTCAGGCGGTAAATCACATAAATAGACAACTTCAGATAAGAGGCGTGATTATGTGTCGTTTATGGAAGCAAGAACATTGGCCATGTGAAAACTTTTATATAACACAGAAATTTCCACTAGAGTGCATCACTTTTTGAGCGTATGAACCAAAAGCATGAAAGAGATGAGGGAGACGATTCAGAAGAGAACGAGGAGTGGGGCTATGGATGTTATCGATTAAAGTGTGTACCATTTCAACTTCTATAGCGTAACGCATAATAATTTTAAAGTAGGCATTATTTTCTTGCCGCAGTAGTCACTAGTATAAATAGTATAACATATGTAAATTATAAGTTATTAATTATTATAAGTTTTACAAACTGAAATTTTAAAAGATCCGTGGTATGAACGAACCGCGGATAAATAAATAATATTTCTAGAGGAAAATTGGTGTACTAGTACTAGTAGTACATTAAGTTAACAATATAGAAGTTACTGTTTGTGTTATTGTTAATAAGTTGATCTACCTTACTCTTACAATTTACAGTCAACACTTAAGTTCTAACCTTAATTTATCTATAAATACATTTAAATTTTATCCTAATGGACTTGCTTGTTTTTGAATAATATTTTTATGACAATAAGGTAGTAATACAAACTACTCTATAGTGTTTCTGTTCGTAAATGACACATTGTGATATATATATATATATATGAGTATACATTTTGTTTCTTATCTTAAATTTAATTATTAGAAATATTACTCAAAAATACTCCAAGTCTAACAGTAACATTACAACACTCTTAACTGTGACTTTGTGTCCAAGGTCTTTCCTTTTAGCGTTTGGTATGTAGCCAGCCTATCTCATGAACTAAAAAATCTTTAGAATCCACTGATTGTGCAGCTTAGCAGAGTGGAAAAATATGTTTTATTTACTCATACTTTGTTTTAGCATTGCAAATATAATAATAATTTTGAACTTACTTCATGTGAGATGCTTGAGTTGAATGAACTGTGTAGTGTAAAATGTACAGTATTCTAGCAAAGTACAAATAAATAGTTTATAACAATATTATACCATGGGTATGAGTAACGGAAAAGGATGCTCATAAAAGTTTTCATTGGATAAACTGAATGAAATGTCACAAAAGTATTGATTTTATGAACATTAGGAAAAGAAAGGTGACTGAAAACCATTTGGCCTTTTAGTTTGAGATCACTAGCTCTTAAACCAGAAAAGAAAAAAGAAAATTGAATTAAATTTAAATATAGTATTTTGAACATGTGACTAATAAGCATGAAAAAGATAATGGAGGAGAGAAAGATGCTGAGTTGCAAACTAATTAGAACTAAGACAGTGATAAAGCTTAAAAGGGTATACATCATGCAGTTATCTAGATTTTTTTTTCTTGAATTCATACCAACTGCATGTACCACATCACTAGGCAGATCATTCTGCAAATTCATAATTTTAATCCAAAAACAATCATGTCGAAAAGAAGTCTTCATTTGGATTTAAACATATTAGTATTAATGTTGAATTTTATATTTCCATTCCACCACTTAAACAGAGAGAAAAAGACACCATAGAAAACTATTCAAACAAACTATTTTTAACACTGAATTATTCTGTATTCCATAGAACACAACCTTAACACTCTTAGCCTTTCCTTGTATTTTAAATTACTTTGACTCCTGGTTCTCAATTTGTGGTCCATGGACTCCTAGCTGTCCATGAGCATTCAAAAAGGGTCTATTATGGTAAAGATAGATTTTCTATAGTATTGTTTAAAAAAGTATAAAATACTATGTTCAATTAAATTAACATGTCATTAACTTGCTTTTTCATTTATAAAATTGCTGCTTTTATAAACTAAGGATTAGCTTCTGCAGATAGAACTAGCTGAATGTGGATGCCCCCAAAATTTTCTTTGATTTTTCAAGGGTACATGTGATAAAAAGAAAATCTGAGAACAATTTAGACCACTATACTCTAGGAGTTTTTATATATGCACTCTTCCTAAAATTTTGCAATCCTTTCTGAATTAGATGAAATAAACTGCACACATCACTTACCTGTATTTTGAACAAAGTGACGGTAAACTTCCTGTTCATAAATTGAGCAGAAGGGTTTAATGATTTTGTTGGATAATCATAGCTAAACCCTTCCTTTGTTCCATAACAGAAGAAGTAAGTCTTTTCTATCTTTCTGCATTGATGTGCATAATTTTATAATTCCCATAACAAAAGCCATTTTTGACACTCACGAATACTCTCATGGTTCTTCTGAATATGGTAAACATTCTCAGTATTTAAGTATCACCAACAAATTTAGAAATTGTCCCAAAAAATTATTTGAATTAAAACATCAGGTATAAACAGCAAAGGTAATTGAAAAACCTTGAGTCTTCACTAGTCCCTTTCCTTCATTCAGAAAAATTATCCATTTAGTATCATCATTTGCTTTTTTATCACTAAGTTAGCTTTCATTTCTATTTTATATTATATCACATATAGACAGGAACATTTTTGATCCTTCAATACTGTCATTGAGGAAAATAAAAATTTAAACCCACTCATTATTTATCAAGAAACCATTAATTCCCCACTTAAGCTATTGTAAAGTGCCATAGTTCACTATTACTGCAGACAACAACTCATTCCATAAGCCAATCACTCAGTTCTTCTGCATTCCAGATAAACCAGACCTAGAAGTTGTAGCATTTTATTTTCTCTCATTCAACCACTCTGCAATCCAATTAACTAGTCTTTCCTCAACTCCAACTGATGTGATTTTTGTAGCTAATCTTCTGTAAGGCACATTATCAAAATCTTCATAAAAATATAAGTACACCAAATCCACACCCTTTCCATTATCCAGGTAATATCCTTGATAAGAATTAATAGATTAGTAAGGCAAGATTTTCCTTTAGTGAATCCATGTTTGCTTTGTTTTATGATATCATATTTTACTAAATAATTTTGCAAAGCTACTTTTTTTTTTTAGACTGTATAGAATTTTTCCCAATATAGAAGTAAGACTAACTGGTTTATAGTTTCCAGGGAAACTCTTGTCATCTTTTAAAAATAGAAGTAACATTTGCAATTCTCCAGTTCTTAAGCATTTGTGTTATTGGTTTGGGTATTCCATTTACAGGTGTATGGACTGTGCAGTGTTATTTTATATTTCTTTTATGAAATGTTAGAGCAAAACATACATTACTATTGGAAATATTTCAAGGTTCTGTGAAGTATTTTCAATAAGACCAGTCAAGGCTTATTATTACTTGTAATCTGTTTAAATGAAGAATGTACTGTAAATATATTCCACAGCAAATTTTAGGTTACATGGGACATAAGTGAACATGTACTCTTTTTCTTTTACGAAAAAAAAAAGAGAGACTAAATTGCACTGTAAAAAAATTCACATTACAACATGCGAGTCACACATTAAATTTTGTTATGATATATGCTGAGGTAAAATGTTCTTTTAGGTAAATAGACATCTCATTTAACATTTGTCTGTTTTTTTTGTGTCTTTGGTAAAAACACATTTTCTTTTGTCCCTTCTAGTTTTGGATACACTGGCTAAAAAGGTACATCATTAGAAAAGTATTAATTTAGCCAACCTAACATGACAGCTGCAACTCAAACCCATGTAGCAACTGACCTTCATAGACATAAGTTGTCTATCTTCAGAAGTCTGCAACTAAGTGGTAAACATCAGGATGATTTTAAGGAGTTTTTGTGTGGCTGGGGTGCAGCATTCATCAACATCTCTCTCACATTTCCAATCAACAAAGTGATCTTTAGGCAGATGCTTGATGGAATTCACTTGCATGCAGCTGTACAACAGCTGAAACTGGATGGTCTATACTACTTGTATCGAGGATACTTTCCACCTCTCATTCAGAAAACTGTTTCAGTTTCTGTCATGTTTGGAACATATAATGAGTATAGTCAATATATTAGGAACAGCTTTCCCTCAGTGCCTTCTCTTCTCAGTTTAAGTATTTCAGCTATACTGGCTGGTTCAACAGAAGCTTTACTGATGCCTTTTGAAAGGATACAAACTTTGCTACAGGATCGCCAGTACCACCATCGTTTTCACAATACCTTCCATGCCATGTGGGAATTGAGAAGGTTTGGTGTGAAGGAATACTTCCGAGGTTTAACCCCCATCCTGATAAGAAATGGGTCAAGCAATGTGCTGTTTTTTGGATTTAGAGGGAAAATAAAGGAATATTTACCACCAAGTCATACCTGTTTTGGACATACCTTTCAGGATTTTATTAGTGGAGCTGTTATTGGAGCATTAATCAGCACATTGTTTTATCCTGTGAATGTGATTAAAGCTAAGATGCAAGTACAATGTGGAACACGATTCCTAAGTTTCAGTGAGGCCTTTGCTTTAACCTATTATGAAAGGAATTGTAATATACAGAAGTTATTCTGTGGTGTGCATATTAATTACACACGAGCTTTTTTGTCATGGGGAATTATAAATTCTTCTTATGAACGTCTGAAAACACTTTTATATTGAAAACTTCCAAGTTTGTTTGCAATACTGTTAAGCTACAATTGTACATCCAGTAACTGTTTACTTTTGTTTTTCAAATTCTCAAGATATTTTGGTTAGCTGTCAGGAGATCTGTATGAGGATATATTTAATACTAATGAGGTACATAGAAATGTACAGTGCAGATTATTGAAACTTGTATGTAACTGAGAACTGAATGTGCCAACAGAAGGACTGGAATGGTACGACTTTTTATGCTGATCATTATATGACACTTAGTTTAACTAAATAATGTACTGTTGATAAAGTCCTTATTTTTGATGTAGATGTCTTTGTTAATAACTTGCATTTTTTGCAAAGCAGTTGTGATAGATATATAAATATATTTCTTTACTAGTTAGATAGCTGTGTAACCTTTCATTGATATTTTTAAAAAACATTATTGATTAACATGAACTTGCTGCAGCACACTGTCAGAAAATTTGTATTAAAAATTACATTGTTGAATTCTAGATCAAATATTTTAGTAAAATATCAAACTTAGATGCTCAAATTAATTTAAAAAATTCAGATAGAGGTAATAATATATTTTACTAAAATATTTATCTGTAGAACAAGCAGTATATTTTTCATTGATTTCTGAATTTTGTCTCGCAGGTGTATGATTTGAGGTATTTAATTCCAAAAACATGAAGAAAACTTTGTTGGCCTGTCAGAAAGTTATGAAGTACATTCTGATACTATGTTTTGCTTTGTGTGACTTTGAGATGTAATAATACTAAAATAACTTGTTTATGTAGTACTGATGATTAGATACACATGTATGTAGAACTGGAAATTTTCTTTTGAACTGCAGTTTGGTCTGTGGTTTTGATCTTTTTAACATCTATTATACACTCAATCAAGGCATCTCAAGATGAATGTCTCCATTCATAAGTACCTCAGTGTTTGAAGCTCAAATCAATAATTAAATAAAATATTTAATGACACACATACACAACTATTAATAAATTGTATCCTTTCTAACTCATTAATTTGAAAAGGACTTTATTAACTAGAACTTTTGTTACATGTACCTTATTCACATGTAGAAAATTTTGGACTTGGTACTATTAGGTGTTATTACACAATTTTTTGTTGTGGAACAGATGTTGGTGTACATGTTAAATTGGATAAACTCTTACCTTGGTTAAAATTGTGCATAAACACCAGTTTATTTTCTTATCTTCTGTTTCGATGTTTTACATTTTACTTGAAATGTAGTAACTTAAAAAGTTTAATTCTTATACCAAAGTTTTGGTTTTTAGAATATAGCTGAATTTGTGGCTTAAGACTTTATAAATAAATTTATTCCTTGTTTTATTACAAGTTACAGTTTGTTAGATTTTAGAATGTTGACTTAATAATAAAACCTTCTTTACTGAAAATGAAAAGATAAATTTTTTCCTTAATTCAAAACTATTGTTACAGGTTTCCAGTTTATGTAAGCATTATTTTAAGAAAAACTACTGTTTGTGTATAGTAGCTCAGATAATATAAACATTCTGAAGAAAAGAAAAACTCCAAAAAAGCCTTTTCTCACTTCTTCAATTGTACATTCTATATTTATGCACAGTGCGAAAAAGCATTCAAACTTATTTATCTTCCACTTTAAGATTATTCATTGTCATATTCTTGTACATATTTTTACATAGACATATGTATAGGTGTTAGTAAAATTGAATTATTTTGTAATTATGTAATTTTTTTGTAAATTGCTTTGTTTCAATAACTTTCATCTGGAAGCCATATAAATTTGTTAAGGTTTTATTAAAAAATAAAATAGTCTCCATTTGTGGTGATATGAACTATAATTTCTTATAGTTCTGCTATTATATTTGTGGACATGTGCTTCATTGTGTTAACGTTGAACATGTTTTAAATTATTGCCATACTTGTATATTTATTTCAGTGTTATCATCTATCTATACAATTGTTGAACTTTTTTTCTTTGTTACATCTGCTATTTCATTGTACTATGCTCAAAATAAAGGTTAAGTCCTCAACTGTCACTGGTTATTTCTTTATAAACAAACAGATTCATATTACAATTATTTATAATGTGAAATCTGTAGAATAAAATTCCAAAATAAGCCTGCCAGTTGATACATATAACTGTTATATCAATAGTAAATAATTTCACATTTCAGTATTGTAAGTTAGTGTTAATATGTACACCAGAAAGCAAAGTACACTTACAAGTTTTCAAAGCAAATTAAACAGAATTGAATGTCATAAGAGTAATAGACAAAAATAAAAATAAGTGGTATTTTACACGTATCGGTGCCAGATGGGACATTTATTTTGTTAGCTTCATGGTAATGACGTAACGGAGTATGTGTGTGCCGCATATGGACAAACTTTGGTCTTTTTATGGATATATATTTAGGTTTGTGGTTTGTTAATATCACTGCCACACACAGACACTTGTGATTGTAGCCCTACTAATACTTTATTGCTTCATACGTTTGGTTATGGATATATCTGTGTGTCTTGGGCGGCTTATTTGTCATAAGCGCGAATATATTCATACAAGACTCGTTTTCCTTGTGCGGCGTGAAAATGTATTAAAATAAATATTGGTAAATACACGACAACGTATTAACGTGAATAAATCTTTGATCAACTAAAATTGGTAACCATAATGATTTAATCCAAGTTATTGGTTAAAAATTAGAGGACTTATATCCAGTGGTGGGATTCAAATATCTTAACAACAGGTTCTCTCACTAGCAGCATGTAAAAATATTAGATATTAAAAAAAAGGAGGGGCCAGAAAGCCCCCCCCCCCCATCACTGAGAAAATAAAAATAGGCCGGCACGGATAGTGTTAAATATTTTTT